ACTTTTGCTATTTTGACCACACTCTGATATTGCTTGGCCACGTGTGTTCATGTTTTCATCTGTGAAATGTTAGTAAGTATACATTTGTGCATAAGGATTTGACTTTGAACATTTGGTGGTGCACATGAACAAAGCATTTTAATGCACTTATGCCCAAGAATTGCTCTCTGCAAGCCACGCATGCCCTCAGCTGAATCCATGCTTCTCTTTCACCTACCAGATGGGGGGAAGAGGACAGGGTTGTTCCCAAGTGGAATATACAAACAGCACAAGATCTAATGTCTGAGCGTATCCGTTATACCTTCTTTTCGGATTTCCTCCACATTTCCAGACCAACAGAAATTGAAAAAAGAAGGAAGTCCCCCTGCAGAGGAGGCTTGATTCCCGCTTAACTTTAAAATCCCATGAATTCAGGTTGAATTCTTTTTGTGACCTTTTAAATAGGAATCCAAAACAAAAGACCACTGTAAGCACTTGAAAATTAAAAAGAGACTTGCAGCCCCCCACCAGAAATAGAAACCCAATTCTGTTAGGAAAAGATTAATCCCATACTGGTCTGAAAAAGAAAATTGTTTGGATTGCAATTCTCAATTGCATACATAAAGGTCAGTAGGCAAACTTTTCAGCAAAGAAAATGTTTTGAATATTGGAACACAGACATGTACCTATGGTGCAGTACATATTTGCTTTTTCATTTATTTATTCTGCTTATTCTCATTTTTAATCCTTGATGCTATGTAATATATATACAGTTATAACATGTATATACAGAGATACCTTGTAGGTATTCTAATTTAGGCCATCTATCTTCAGGAAACTGAATTAAGGATTAAATACTTAAAAATACCTTTGCAAATCCCAGAACTATTATCTGTACCTTCATATGATGATGGTTATTTTATTGCATTGTTTTTCAACTGTTATGCCTATAGTCACAAAATAACATTATTTAATACTTGTACTTCACTCATTTACTTGCTTCCTACAATTTAGAATGAATATCATTAAATAAATCGGTATTACAAGGCACCCAGCTTGAACTATTTGTTAGGAAGCCGTTGTTCATAAACTACTTGCCTAATGAAGCATACCTTTTTTGAAATGTGAAAAACAATTTCCTTTTTTTTTTTAATTTTAATTCTGTAAATAGTTTTCTAACCTTTACAGCGAGGAATAAATTCTAGGATATTGAGTATATATTGTCCATTACAAGATCCAGCTATTCTTGTGTTCTTTGTTACTCTCCTGTATATTGCTTGGACTTGGAGGAAACGGCTATAATGTTCGTAATCTTTAAGACTGAAACTTGCTGCCTCTTCCTGGCAGATGGAGGAGTAAAAATGCCTTTTAATAAGTGCACGCCTCTTTAGATTATTATCTAAAACTATGTGCACCATTTTCCACCATGTGCAGATTTAGGTATCTGTAAACCTTGTGTATGGTGGGGACTATAATGTTTGTATGTTGTTGTTATTTTGTTGTTAAGAATGTACAGTTGCTAACTGCATACAAGAAAAACTTTATGTGTGTTTGCTCACAGCCCAGCATTAGGAAATGAGGCATCCATTGTGGTTTTCACTTTGAGATGTAACTTGTAATTACAATTTTCTGTTCTTTGTACACTTATATATACAAATTCTGTAAAATGGGCATGGAATTAAATGGCTGTTATTCTGTGGAACTATATTATTCCAACCTCCCGCCTCTGCAGAAGTACATGGAAAGTTTTTAAATACGTTTTTAAACATTGAAACTGAGTGAGAAAACCAGTCTAGGTGGCAGCGAAACCAGTTACGTTGGTTTCAAACCTTAGGAACTTCTGTTTCATCACGTATAACATACATAACATTTAATTAATATTACCATTAGATTTTATTTTGTAATTGATCAAGGTGAGCTTCTTACAAGGCAGGGGAGAGGTGCCCAGGAAACCAGTTTTGGTGCCATGAAACATGGTAGATTTGCCTTTTAAAAATCATTTTTTTACAAATTTCTTTGAAACTTACAATAGGGCGGCAAAGGAAATGTGACCAAGGCTGCATCCGAACTGCAGAAATAATCCAGTTTGGCACCATTTTAACTGCTCTGGCTCAATGCTATGGAATTCTAGGAACTGTAGTTTTGTGAGACATTTAGCCTTCTCCGTCAGAGAGTTCTGGTGCCACAACAAACTACAATTCCCAGAATTCCATAGCATTAAACCATGTTAAAGTGGTGTTAAACTGGATTATTTCTGCAGTTCGGATGCAGCCCAAGACAGTGCTGGCCATGTCCAATGTAAACAGGTGCTCAATAATGCCTATTCTAAGGCAGAGGCTGCTTTTAAAAGTCTGGGGAAATCTTGTCTGCTGCTAGAGGAGGTTCTTACCCAGATGTCAGAGACGCTATAGAAGACTTACAGTAGGTACCAGCAATAGCTTGTTGCCGCCAGCTATTAAAATAGAGCAGGGAGAAGGGAGAGAACCAAAGAGGAAATAAAAAGAAACTGCAAAAGTTGTGCCCAATGTGTCAGAAATGGTACCATAACTCTATGGTCGCTGTGGAAATGGAACTACCCGATCCATTCTCAAATCATCACCTATGCCAAATCACTAATGCATTGTTTTAATATGGTATTTCCAAAAAAAATCTGTTGCTTTCTGCAGAAGATTTTGGATGTATAATAATCTTTATTTTCCTGGCTTTATGAATTAGTGAGTATAAGTCTGAACTAAACCCTTTTGTAGATGCTGCTGGTACTGCTAAGCTTTATGTCCAGTGTAAATTATGTACAAATTACTGTTTCCCACAGGAATTGTATCATGGTAGTTTAGAACAAAATTAGTCAATTAATGTATAAAATTTGGTACTTAGAATTTTTTTTTTAAACGGTCTCAGCTTTACCAACATTTTAACAAGACTGCTCACAACAGTAGTTGAACAAGTTGTTGTAAATGTACCTTGTTAAACTCTGCAACTCTCTGTGCCTCTGTATATGAGTAGCTTTGTTTTAAGGCTCAAAAGGAAGCATGTAATATTTTTTTTCTGTTGTTAAATCAATTTCATAATAAATCTAAAATGAGATAAATATATCTGTCAAATTGTTCATTCTGCTGTGTGGCTGGTATGGATAATAACAACTCTGGCAGATGATCGTAACATGGGAAATGGGAAAGCAAGGAAAACGGTGAGTGCAAGGCATAAAATAAAGTTGAACTTTCAAAAGGATTGTGTTCAAACAGATCTATTGTGACAACCTGAAAGTCTGACCTGGTGTGTATTACTGAGAGAGACATGGGTAAATGACTTGAATAGGCTGGATCCAGGTATTCAGTGCACCCCCAAATTCAACCAGGGGGTCAAAGGAGTGAAGAGGAATTGCCCTTATCCAGAAGGATTTCGCTCCCTCTGACCCTTGGCATCCAACCTGAGACCAGTTCTGAGATATTATTGAGCCTACATTATGTTGAGCCTAACAGAAAGAACTAAGTATAGTTGGCCCTCCATATCCATGGATTCTTTTTAT